GAATGTGAAAATTAAGAGAATAACAAACCATTGCTCAAGCAGGTTCTCTTCAATTCTGTTTCGTCATGTAAGTCCCAAAGTAGGTTAATTTTGGAAGAGTGAATGTAGCTCTTCCATCCATTGTCTGATTTCCTTCCTCTTTTTTCTATGCTATTACTCTTTGCAATCATGAATGTGAAGAGCTCGCAGTTTTTCAAAGGGAAACAAATTCTTCAATCTTGAACAACTAATAATTACACAAAATTCTTTAATTAGAAAAAGATGTGATGGAATGTTGGTACGTACAGGCAACGCGTGAGTAGTTGCTGTTCCTTTCACTTTCATATGATCACACATGAATCACTGTGATTGGTAATTATAAAGGAATTAGCATCCAATTAAGAGAGATACACATCATATGGAATTTGTTAAAGTAAAATCTAAAAACACTGAAATCTTGAAAATTTACCAGGGTAGAATAGGAAGGTAGAGGCAGCTAGTATAGAAGAAAGCACAATCTGAAAGCAGGAGGAAAGACGATGAAGGGCTGCAGAAGTGTGCTCTAGCAGGGAACTTAAGACGCTCAAGTTAGCCACATAAGTTTTTAACAAAATCAATAGATCAAATATGAGAGAAATTCATACCTTGGGTCTGTTATGGCAAGAGTTGAACAATAGGCCAACTATACCAACTCATATATATCTAATTCACAAAAACTCCATTACGTCAGATGCTGAGCACTAGGGCCCAACTTCAGAGAAGCAGTATATAAGAGCCCTGCAACATGGTTGAATAGATTGTGTGATACAGAGAAAACATAGAACTGACATTTGGATAAACAAATAAGAACCATAATATGAATGAAGAATCACTTTGGTGAAAAGACAGTATCAAATCCTTTAAAACCACTTAATATTTGGATGAGAAAAATAGAATCAACTAATCACCAGTGTAGAGGCAGCTGGCAGGCAAGAAAGCGCATTAAATCAATCTAAATTCTGCTTACTATTTTGGACTTGAAAATAATTGTTGATCTCCAAGTATGGGTGTGTTGGCTGCATAAAATCTAAAGGTAAGTAACAGAGACTGTCAAGTTAGCCACAAAAGAGTTTAACTAAATTGATAGATCAAAAGAATATGAGAGAAATTCATACAATTGTATACATACATACCTTGGGTCTGCTGTGGCCTACATATATATATGTGGGTTCAATTGCCACAAGAGTTGAACAATAATGTGATTAAAGAAATTAAGATGTTGAGGTTGATATAGTTAATAGTCACAAAACATAAAACAAGAAATTTCTCAAATCTGCTTGACAGCTTATTACAATGCAAAATAAAACAAATATTACTTAAACAAGCATTAATTAAACAAAGTTCATCCATAGCACAAAACAACAAATTACAACAGAGATTGCACTGGATTGAAGTGAGTGTGAGTCCCCCTTTTTTTTTTTTTTTTTTTTTTTTTTCGTTTTCCTTAACTGTATATGTTGCTGAG